GTGACTGGAGTAAAACAGAGAAGTCAGATGACCCAGAGTGAAATGGTCACATGACTGGAAACTGATAGATAGGTAACCTTGGATGCACTGCAGCGATCCGTCTTCACCCCTGATTGTGAAAGTCTCCCCCGGATTCACCTGGACAAATATGACCTGTGAGGGAGAGTAGAGCAGGTAGAGTGGTCAAGGGGGACAGTGACCATAAAGTGGAGCAGGTGACAGGAAGGGACAGGCACTCACCTGCTGAGACGCCTCCTGGATGAGTTCACAGGGCATCATGTGAGCCCCGCCACCAAACAGGGCTGGCAGCTGCAGCGTCTGGTCCGCCATCATCACAGCAGGAAATGTTCATCGGCGGCCCTCCCTGCCCCGCCCACCTACAATGCAGACAATCAGAGAGAACAAAACTAATAAGGATTTAGAAAGAAGAGCCAATCAGAGTCAGTCCTGGAGGATGTACCATACCCGTGTGCAGAACGGCCAATCAGAGAAAGTTAAAGCAACACAGAGGTAAGCGGAAAGAGCCAATCAGAGATGTGACACTTCCCCTGGATGAGACCTGGTGGATGCACCTCCCCTACATGCAGACGCATTGGAGAGTCTGTAGTGTAACCTTAACACTCCCTGACAGCAGACTGTATGTTTGAAAACACACGTCCTTACCGCCTACGCACCCAGGGCATGCTGGGAGTGTGGGACCAAGGCAGCCCTGACTCCAAAAGGGCTATCTACATAGAAAACCACCCCCCCCCCTCAGAAACTGGAGGATGTGGAAGCATGATAGTTAAGAACCTGCTTGTCATGCAGGTTTCAGCCCCATTGGTATAACACCCTGGTAATTAGAGTTTCTGAAAGTCTGCACTAAACAATTACCTGCCCCCCAACCCACTCTGTCCCCAAAGAAGGGATCTGCAAATGCCAGCTGACCTGCATCTGGGTCCCGACTCGGCAGCCTCAGTTAATCCCAAATCCTCATGCAGGAATCCAAAGAGTCATATTAAACTTCTACTTTACTGGTCTGTCTCCTACGCTTCCCCTTCCAGATACGCCTCTTTTAATCAGCTTCATGACCTAAAAACTGGCACAGCCACATCCCTGATTGCGAGCTCAGGGACTGTTCCCTCTTGATGTTCTTGAAGGCATCCATTACACCTGGAGAGCAATGTCACCCTTAAGAAAACCCCCACTCTGCATGTGTACAGCAGGAGGGAAGGGGAAATTTCTAGGAGGACAAGAAAGTCAGAAATGGCAAGAAATTGAAACAGCCACAGACACTGGTCACATGGCCCCAAATATCTGCTCAGCCATTGGCTGGGATCACGGGTAGAAGGGTACCGTAATTCCAAAACTCATAAGGGAGGGTGCTTTAATTCAGGTCCATGCGGAAGCCTCAACTGAGGTGGCATCAAGGCAGTCCTGGGCCAGTATGGCTGGGATGCCAGCAGTGGAGAGGACAAGGCAGAGGTCGAGCCAGCAGGAAGGGCACCAACTGATGCAATCTCATGCCAAACACTACCCCCCCCCCCCCCCTCCGGATGCACATCATCCAGGTGCAGATTCAAATGGACTCCCCTGGCAATACATCCTACACAGAGGCAGCTGGTGGGGGGTGGGGGCGGGGATCCGGGGCAGGGAAAAACACAGCCATAAAGCCAGGCATGATGACGCAGGGCCGCCTCTCACAGCAAACACACCTGCAGCAGCTTAAAGGGCATACTAAGAGCACACTAAGGGCGTACTAAGGGCACACTAAGGGTGTACTAAGGGCACACTAAGGACGTACTAAGGGCATACTAAGCACTGCGACTTATTTACAGCCAGGGCCTGTGACTAATGCGCCACAGCGAAGAAGAGCAGGACCTGCTGGTCACCTTTTCAGCCAAGACCTTGTCAACCAAGCAGAACATCTCACATCCTGCTAGGAGAGGGGGATGCCACTTCAGCCTCCACTAGGGGGCAGCGCTATGGTCAACATCATCGACTGACAGCTGCCGGCCCTGCTGTTGCACCCTGGAAAGGGATAATACACCCCGCAGTAAAGAGGTGCTACGAAAGGAGAATAAAACTTAAAAAGAAAACCAACAAATTGCCCCCATCCCCCGAGCTGCTATATAATATCCTGTTTCTTCTACAGTTGGGGCCATAAGTTAACATGTTAAATCATAACAAAACACCATTAGAGGCGTGTAAGTAAACCTAAAAATATTTTTTTCTCTTTTCATTAAAAGCAAGCAAAAAAAGAGAACCTGTGTTCAGGCAGGGCGTATAAATACCTGCATCACAAGACTGCACACCTGTGTCATGTGAGCAGGCGTGAAAATGAAAGCATCTAAATAAAACAGGGAATTAAAAAAAAAAGCATGAAAAATAAATAGAATCCAGAGAAAGTGTGGAAGAGATGAGTGTATAAGCAGTTACAAAGAGACTAACATATTATCCAGAGACTGGAAACGCACAGACGAACAGAGCAGGTATTACTACGAAAACTCGCTAATTTAATTTTATATTTCAGATTATAGCCCAAGGACATGTATGAGGAAGTTATTTCGCCTGACCGAGGTGCTGTTAATGTCTTCCTCATCAGCTGCCCAAGAAACTATTTTATTATCATCAAAGAGAGCTTACAGAAGACAGCTACACAGACCGATACAGGCATACGCAGAGGGCATGTCGGGATTTGAAACATTTGGAGAAAAATAACGTCATATGTGTCTGGAATCTGAGGAATGTTATGTGACCCATATGATGTGGGATCAAACTTTCCTATTAGTTATATTTCATATTATACAAAGTTCATTCTTCCTACAAAATATCAGAAATACAAACTAATTAAATACAAATAATTAAAACTCTGATGGTATTATATAGGTATTATCTATGTGTATATAAATACATAGATCTTATCCATGCGTTTGTGTACTACGGGATTACATAATCTATTAGATATAGATATTATTTCAATATATTTATAGTTTTCATACTGCTGATAAAACACCAAAGCCCCCCCGAAGCTCTATGTCTTTCCTGTTTTAACTACAATTAACGGTCAATGACGTCGCGGACAAAGCGCAGAGTTGAAGCCACTTTGGGAATGCATCTGCGCGGATCAGAACCCGGACACACGGAGCCCCCGGCACTGACATCGGCTGAAAGTCTGTCTCACGGAGCAACCTAACGTCTCATCTGCGATCAGCCACAGGGCTGCAGTGATTTATGCGCATCCATACGGACGTTGCTTTTATCTGGTCTGAAAAACAATCAGACACATGTCATTGTTATGCAATCAGAGAGGCCAGCGTTCTAAAGTTTCCCCTTTTCTGAAGTGCACAATCCCGGCGCTTTCACTGCCATCTGGGGATACTATGTAAAGCGCAAAACTGATATACTGAACAGCTGATCTCCAGCGACGCCCTGGTAGTGTAGTTCTGAGAAAGCAAATTCATTATAATCCAAATGACACATGGGAACGTAGATGGGAAAAGCGTTGCGCATTACGCATTAACGCGGCTAGGCTCTGCATCCCGTTTGACCATCATCCATTAAGCCGGGATGCCGATCAGTCTAATTAAAAATATATAATAAAAACATATATATAGTAAAAAATAAACGTTACAAAGCTATCCGATGCGGTCATCGCTTTTCACGGAAATCCATACTCTCTGAAAGGCAGAAAGCAGTTTGGTTTCGCTTTTCGCTCCATCCGAACTAAGGCAGCCGGTGTCTCCCGATCCGCAGAGTGAAGAAGTTCACGGTTTCTAAACCGTCAGTAGTATAAAATGTAATCAGGCTGCAAAGTATAAACGTGTGGATTTCTTACCTTTGTGCACTAAAACTATCTGCAACGACACTTCTATTTTCCCTACCCCCGCCAGACTCCAGCAATTCCTGCCTCTGATTTCGCTCTTAGCCACTCGGTGAAGAATTCAACCATAGTACATGGCAACCCGGCCCTACCGTAAGTCCTCTAGTATTGCGGACGGTGACGCGTGAATACAGTACGGTTTAAAGTATGCCCTGTTAGTGCGAATACTACAAAGCGGGGGAAATCCCCCGCAACTCTGACGCGCCAAAAGATAATAAGATAATAATAAGATAATAAAATAACAACAGACTACAACGGGCGAGATACTTATTTTACTTCATTCATTTTCGCTATCACACTGAGTGACTCATTTACACCAACATAACATTCTACCACATAAACATAAACAAAACGATGTACTTCGAAAACAGGTGTAACACTAAAATGGCATTACAGTGGTTATTAGTGTGTAAGAAAAATGGTCCATTGGAAAGGGTCTACACATTTTTATGTCTCCAAGGAAGGGACAATGAAAAACCCCTAGGGCTTTTCAGATGCCTCTGTGCAAGGCTGCTGGGTTAGTCACCAAACCTGGAAATGGACTGCAAGGCTCCTCTGACAAGCTGAAACCAATGGCTGGAAGAGCCAGGTTCGAGGCCTGGTGGGCACAGGCCAGGGATTCAGCACAGTGCTGTCACAGGTGAGGGGTGTCATAGGCTGTGTGCAGGTCTGACTGAGGGTGGGGATTGCAGAACTTTATGGGTCAAATTATGGTCAAGGTGCCTTTGGGAGGCGGGAGGTACAGTCCGTTTAGCAGGGCCAGGTCATGCTTTTCAAGGGCCCCAGGCAAAGCTTTACAAGAAATTTGGAGGGAAATTGATAATCATTTCACTTCCCCTGAAAATCAGGTGAGTTGGGGGTCCTAAGCAACTGCCTATTTTGCCTACAGCTTGAGCCAGCCTTGTACATGACATAAATATAGTGATCCCACACCTATCACGGAAGTTACGTTCCAGACCCATCAGCAATAGGTGAAAATCCGTGATATAGAAAGACCATATAAATAAATATTGTTTTATAGTTTAAGCCTTAAAATACCCCTCCCACATGCCTTAAACACATGTAAACTCATTAAAACACACTTTGTAAATACATATGATATGTGGATGTCGGGCTAAGGATATGAGTAACATAATAATAATAATAATATGTAATGTATATGTATATATATACAAACATCGCAGAGAACTGTGATGCGTTTGGGAAAAATCTGCAATATAGCGGAGGTGCGATAGCTGAACTGGGATATAGCGGGGGATCATTGTATCTTTATGAGTTTGCCCAGGCCTCCTTATGGCGACTGGGCAGCTGCCGGCTATGCCTATGCCTGGATCGGGCCCTGCTCTTTAGGTAAAACACTAAAGAACAAGAACATAAAGATAAGGTGGACTTTAGAAAGCAGGAAGGTTGATGTCTGGATGGCAGTAAACACACTTGTAAAGTGATAAAGCTGAATTTTTATAAGATCAAAGGCTTCTGCGAGGTTTTGGTGGGAAAGGGCATGGCGTGTGTGCGATTCAGCGTGAGGGACTGGATGCCTCCTCACCTTTTGAAACACAGAAGGACAAAAAAAGCAGTCAAGAGAAAACAGGATGCACAGCGATTGTCATCACGTCAGGCTGTGAATGTTTCCACGCTGAGTCACGGCTTTGATGCGTCGCGCTGGCGCAGGCCACGCAATGGATTCAGTGTCTCTACGTGCGTCTGCTCTGCATCGGACTCGCCCCCATGCACAAGTAAAAGGCACGAGTCCCGCCCATGTCACTGTGACGTCAGACACCTGGAATGCTGCCGCACACCACCGTTAGTTTTTCCCACAAGCCAAAAATGTGATTTGAACACCGGATACAGCTCTGTTACCGATTAGGTCAAACAGATTTCAGTAAAATTTGAACGGCTGCACTATTCTTGGGACTGAAACAGACAACCTTCCAGTCCGGTGTCTTCCTGTTATGGTGAAAATTCAGGAGCTGGACATCACAGGCACAAGTAAATTCACCTGAATCTGGAGATATTCAGTGCTACTAGTGGCATGTGCTTTCGAGAGATGCCAACAGGGGGCAGGGTGGTTAACGCAGTGATATAACATATTTGACAGCTCAGATCTCTGGAGGGGTATTTGGACATAACATGTAACCATTTAGAGTCTCCTGTGAGATACTCCGAAAGTCATAAAAATTTTCGCGAAGGACTTTTCTGGGTTTTTTGCATTTTCAGTTAGAAAAAGTCCCACTTCTACGACAATGCAGAAGTACAGAGGAAGGTCTGAATAATTAAATGGTCCGATAACCAAATACTCCATATTCTGACATGCTAAGTGAAACATCTGCAGGAGGAGATACAGAGATTGCTGTCTTTGACCTAAAGGTCAATCTCTGTGGTTAGCAAAGAAGAACTGCTAATTCTCTTTTTTTGGGATACATTTCCATTTTTTTGAAGATATTTTGGAAAGTGAGGCTGAAGTGAAAAGTCTTTCACAGCACTCATTCCATCTCTGAAATTTTCCAGACATGTCGTAACCAAGGCTGTTTCCGTGGTGATGTAATTACCACGGCAACACCATGGTAAACCATTCACGCCCTGAATGGCCTGTCCAGGAGCAAGTGGACATACCCTGGTGCTGTCTGCTCTGTGCTCTCCTTCACTTCCGTCCATTTGTTACCGAAACTTTCGGTTGCCTCCCCCCCAACCCCTCTGGGGGGGCCTTCAAGTAGAAGATAACATCACATGCTATGAAAAACAAACATGATACATGTTATCCACAGTCGAGGGCCGCAATGGACCCAAATAACAGTGTAATCAATTAACAAAGCATCAGCCTCTGGAGATGCTCAGTAGGTGCAGCACTCTGTCTTGGGGGGGGGGGGTTCAATATCCTTCAAATGGGGCCATTGTACAGCGCCCCTGTGTGGCTGCAGCCTTTATTACAAGGGGGACGTTTTTTTTCACTTTGATCCCTCATCCTTACAGCTAGAGCCTCCAAACGAACATGAACACAAACACTAGTGAACACTTGCAGTTTATATAAAGTGTGTGGAGCCTGTGTAATTATTATGATTAACATATTAATGCCCCAAGTCGATGTTTACGCATGGATACGTCACTTCCTCATGCACGCCATGCAAAACACAAGCAAATCCTGCCACACGCAAATTCTGGAAGCGCAACATCACAGGAGAAAAGGAAACAACGTATGTAAACACAGTAAAACTGCATCTAGTACACTATAGACAGTGACATATAACACAAGCTGCGAAAGGGCACTGTTCCTTTTTCATGAGAGTCATGCACTCACCTGCTTGTCCCCGTGTGACGTCAGGGAGGCTTGGAAGGTCGACTCTCCTGCTCTGCCTGGCGTTTGTGCTGAATTTCAGTTTTACTTCTGCCAAACTGTTTTCAGTTCCATCGCCGACATCCTTTGAGTTGGTTTCTTAAAGGGCCAGTCACACTGCAGACAGCTTCCTTTCATTTGTCATTCTGTTCCTCCTCCTGCGAGATACTTTGCTTTTGTTGTGTTTCATTCTGCTCAGAGCACAGTACCACAGTCACTTTCAGGGCTGTCACGCTCATTGACCAGTTTCTGTTCCCCCTAAAGATGTTTTTAAATGCAGGGATGATTGTCGCTAATGCATGAACAGAAGTCCATCCTTATAGCCCATACAAGCAGCCATGACCGATGTCCTCCTGTCTCCATTGGTCAGACAACCTGAAGACTGACCTTAAAGGTACAGATCCTTAACCCAGAACACACCTATAGCATCTTTAAAGTTACCTGCAGTTCGTCAGTGTCCACTAAACAAACACATATTGGTACAACAATAGAAATCCCTTTGAACCCCAGTTACCCTAGTTAACACATTCTGCCGGCACATTATGTAAGAACCCATAACATATTATGCTATTTACACCCCCTCTGTCCATCACAGTGCCAAAAAAATAATCCAGTTCCCCTGTAATTGAGTTACGATGATCTTGTACCATCATTCCCATTAAGGAAATTTTTAAAAAGAAAACAATCCAGTCCATGGCATTTTGCTGCTCTTGGCGTTACTGTGAAAGTTTTCCTCCACTTCTGTTCAGCTCGAAATTTGACAGTGTAGTACCAAAAATTGCCGCTAGGTGCCAGGCTCCATCCATTACCACTGACCTAATGTTCTGAAGTAGTTTAAATATTCTGAAACAATGGTGGGTTTGTGATGCATACAAATCAGGAAAACGCACAGCACAAAAAAAGTCTTCTGTTAGGCCCACAGGTCAACTGCAGACCAACGGGAATGTACAGAAAAGTGTCAGAGTAGTTAAAAACATTAAAAACAGGATGCTTCCCTTTTCTGTTAATCAGTCAGCACCACACAATGTATTTGTGCTTCAAATTTGTCTTTACAAACAGGATTGCATGTTGCACATTTGCGTTTGTGTGTGGGGAGCATTTGTAGCATGTGGTGTGTTTAATCCGACGTGACTGGCTCCGGAGCGTCACTTGCTGTTTCCAAGGAGACCGCCACTGTCTCAGACTCTGTGTCACCCTCCGAAGACCTGTGGGGACAGACAGAAGGACAGATGACAGAGACAAAGAGAGAGATTTCAGTGAGGATAAACAGTCAGATTGTAAAACATAAAATAAAATTCATCCATCTGCTAGTTCTGTTCAGGGTCATGGGGGGTCCGGAGACAATGTCAAGGCAGGAAACAACCCAGGATGGGGCACCAAACTGTCACAGGGCACACACACCTACAGGCAATTTGGAAATTCCATTTATCCTCAGCATATTTTAAGACTGTAGGGGGGACACCAGAGGGAACCTCTTGATGACAAGGGAAGAACATGCAAACTCCACATACATGGAGCCATGACTCGAACCCTAGTCCCAGAGGTGTGATGCAGCAGTGCTAATCACTGCACCATGTCCCTGCATCCATCCACCCATCCATAAATCAATCCATCCATCCATCCATTCATCCATCCTGCAGTTCCTTTTCCTGCAAATGAAAACGCACTCATCCTCCAGATGCTCGCTCTCTGACTCCTCCGCTACCAGGACCTCATATTCTTCTGCCGCGAAGCGACACCAGTCAGAGACTTCCCGCCCAGCACGCTCCACCTCCTGCAGTGGGGATGGGGCAATTAGCGGAGAGACATGGCCCAGGTTGTATGGCACTGAGGCACCACAAGCTTGTGAGCTCACCTTGTGAATGGCAAAGGGGTCCCTCTGCTCATGCTCCAGGTACTTCTCCAGGCTGAAGAAGGTGTCATAGAAGACATGGGCCATGCCACACCTCTTCAGGTCCTGGAGGGTGATCATACCTGCATTGGGGGGGGGGGGGGACACACTGAAGCACACATCATGTGGTCGGATCACAGCATTATGAATGGTTACTATGATTGTGGTCAGTACGACCTCTGTGAGACCATGGGCAGTCTGTGTTAAATGCTAACCCGGCCGCTGGGGTCTGACCAGGTCCAGCACCTGGCACATCAGGTCATGGAAGGGCAGCGGGTCAACGCCCATGGCCTCAAGGCGGTGGCTCTGTTCCTGGTAGAAGTGCTCCAGCTCATACATGGACAGGACACCATCGCCATCCAGGTCCATGCAGCGGAACCAGTATTCCACACTGCAGTTCACAGACAGGGGTGCTGTGGGATTACTGCATGGTTATCCATGGCAGGGAGATAAATGGCTGGCAGAGGCATTTAGAGTCCTCAACCATGAGGCCCCACCTACTCTCCCCTTGAGTCACTCGGATCATGCTCAATGTGAGGTACACCATGGCCCTGATTCCGCTAGCACTACTGCCCCCCTCCCACACATTGATTACCTGGTTGGGGTCTTCTTGTCCTCCTCAGAGATGAGGAACCACACAAACTCCGCATAGCTCATCCTGTGCTTGCTCTGGCCTGAGCTCCCCCTAGAGGCAAGGACAGGAAATGTATGTTCTTCGTTCTTAATGTCACATATCTGATAATTTGCTTCATTAACCAGGAGTTGCAGTGACATTCCTCTGCGTGTATTACTGGGGGTGTGGGGTTGGAGGAGGATGTCTGTGGTGTGCAGGACGTACCTGCTGACAGCCCCGGAAAACAGACGCTCTACGATTCTCTCTGATGAAGCTGTCAGAAGGAACAGAGTGAGGCAAGGTTTAGCTTCCTGAGGACGGCCATAATGACGGTAATGACCACCTTGCTGATGTCTCAGCCCGCTTACCATGGTAGTTATACTTCGCCAGGTCCCTGTGGTCTATCAGCAGGTTGTGGTCCGTGTCCAGCTCCCAGAACTTGCAGTAGATGACATAGAAATGTTCGTAGGAAAAATAGTCGGTGACCTGATTGATGTCAGATTCCTCCTCCAGTGCAGCCAGGGTCTGGAGCGAGAGGGGAGGAGTGCGTGACTCAGGAAGGGGCTTTGTAAACAGGTAGGATTATTGGTAACCCTGGGGGAGCAGCAAGCAGGAAGTTATACCTCCAGGAAGTTACTCCTCCTCAACTCATGGGCTGTGATCCTCCCTGTCCAGGAGCGGTTGACTGTATAGAAGATCCGCTGGATCACCTGTCAGGGATAGACTGTTAGACTGTTGTCAGCCTCCCTCCACAAGGGGGCACCGTGCGAGACTTACTGTGGTTATATAGCGGGAGTGGAATTCGGGTGCGTCCTTCAAAAACGTCAGGCCAGGGTGACTGTTTACTATGTCCTGCAATCATAGGAAAAACTACACCTTCAGCTCTTTAATTGCATTTTAGCAATCAGTTATTAGTCTGGAAAACTGTGCTTTTTATTTAAAAATATTTTGAAATATAATAGTTTGTAATGTTTTGCAGTCAAACTATGTTTTCGAGGCATGTATTTAACGAAAAAAAGTATGTTTGTGACATTTGCTAACTACTGCAGTGCATGATGGGTATGATATTTGGAGGCTAAATTTCATCATCTGCAACCGCAGCAACCTCAGCCCGAGGTGTGAATTTGGAATAGGGGGGCATGGTCCATTTTGCCCCAGGGCTCAGTGTACAGTTTTTCTCCCACTGAGGTCATGAGCAGGTGTAGCAGTTCATAAGCACTGTTGGATGACAACTGGTGCTCAGTAAGTCTACCTGGCAAAGGCACTGATTCATGAGCTTCTGTGTCTCACACCTGTAACAAAAAGACGAAATCCTCTTGCTCCACGTAAGTGTAGTCTGGTTTGGACAGAAGGTACACGAACTTGGATGAGTCATCATGACATCGCAGTGACAACCTGACAGAAAAGAGAGCACCATCAAACAAGGATATCCCCCATCTCCAATGGCATCAAGGGTGACTTTAAGGCATTTTCTAATGCCATGCCATGCTGTACAGAATGAAACTGAAATTTGTCGGCTGTTCTCCTCATCAGAGCTCCAGATGTTTCCATCCCAAAGCTCCTCTATCTGACTCCTGAACTTCACTGTCTTCTCCAAACCCTTAGGTTCTGCCCTGCTGAGTTGGATGGGAGCCAATAGGGAACATGGAAGGGCTCCTTACTTCCTCCATGTCTCCATCAATGAGCTGGCAGAGACAGAGCCGGTCTTCCCTCCGCCAGCGCTGTGGAACAGCGGGGCCTTCCAGTACAGTGGGTAGCCACATGCCTGACAGGGACAGAGATAAGGTTATGTGGTCATCAGCACCCCCTGCCTCCTCATCGTGTGTGTGTACACACGTATACATGTATACACACACACACACACACACACACACACACACACACACAGTATATTCACATCTACAAAAAATATACACATAAGAATAAAACATCTGCATAAAACATACACTTAAGAGTATAGCTTAAACAATACTAATTAAATTTACAATATACATAATTATGAACATTTAACAATAAAACAACCAAAATGAAAACACCTCAGTTTCCTGTAGACTGGAGGAAAACTGATGCATGTGGAGGGAATTAACCTACAGCGAAGCTCACAGACCTTAGTGGAGACTGACACACAGACATCCATCATGGAACTTCACAGACTGGCAGCTAACAGTGACCACACCTTGGTGATCTTGCCCATCTCCCGCATGGTGGCCCTCTGCTCCCCCAGCTCTGTGAACACCACCTCGATCTGGGCTTTTGTCAGATCCAGGTCAGTGCCGAGGGCCATGGGGACCCCACTGGCGAAGTTGAAGCTGGGGATGATGCCCCGCGTGACCTCTCCTGCTGGGGGAGCCGTGTGGGGAAGGGGCCTGGTGTTCTCATCGCTCTGTGCATATGAGACATAGAGAATGAAAGGGGAATGGAGATACGCAGGAGGACTGAGGATGTGATCAATTCTAAGGAATCAGCACATCAGTACAGTTACCATGGCAATTGCTAGTAGCCTGAGCACTGGTCCTCAAGACCCTCCACGGACCCTCCAGTACAGTCTAGATCAGGGTTATTCAACTCACGGCCCTCGAGGTCCGAGCACTGCTGGTTTTCCAGCCTTCCTTTACCTGTCAGTCAGGTGTGAAGCCTCTGACCAATCAGAATCAGTAATTATTAAACAACTACCTGGGAGAACTGAAAACACGGCCTGGATTTGGAATCGAGGTCCAGAGTTGAAGAACCCTGGTCTAGATCAAGGGTGGGCAATCTTATCCAAATAGGGCCGGTGGGTATGCAGGTTTTTGCTGCAACTCCGCAATTAGCTTACTAATTAAAAGACTGATTGGCTTAAGAGTCCTCATGCCTGGGTTTGAACCTTAAAGGTTATCCCAAAAACCCGCATACATACTGGCGCTTTGCGGAAAAGATTACCCACCCCTGGTCTAGATCATGCCTTAACCTTGTGTACATTGTGGAACCCATCTTTATGCTGGATACGGTGTGGAACTCACCGCAACCCTGGGTACAATGTGGAATCCAACTTAACTCCGGGTACAGTGTGGAATCCTCCTTTACCCCGGGTACAGTGTGGAATCCACCTTAACCGTGGGTACAGTGTGGAATCCACCTTAACCGTGGGTACAGTGTTGATCCCACCTTAACCATGGGTTCAGTGCAGAATCCACCTTAACCCCAGGAACAATGTGGAACCCAACTTAACCCTGGGTACAGTGTGGAATCCTCCTTAACCCAGCCTTGGCATATATGCATAGGACAGGCCCAATGTTTTTCAATGATTCATTTCACAGGACCTGCTGCAGATCAACCATAGAACCACAGAATTCTGTGCTACAGCTCCTCAGTAGAGATACTGTCGCCTCACTACCATCTAACGGGGAGCCCCTGACCTTTGCAATGTACCGGTGCCTGCGGCATGGGCAGGACTGCACCATAGCATCCATCTCACCAGCTTTGCCACAATGCTCACCTGCCTATAGCTTCCCTGTTACATCAGCCTGGTCCCGCAATACAGCAAGAGGTAGAAAACACGGGGTTCGCTATTGCAGTGACACAGTGTCCCATGACCTGTGATCAAAGCACTGCTTATATCCCACAAAACCACCATTTCAGGACTGTCCTCAAGGACATTGGGACACGGACACACACACACACACACACACATACACACACACACACACACACACACACACACACACACAGACGCACACAGATGCTCTAACAGCAATGCATTGGCTTGGCAATCAATATAAAATTACTTTACTCACCTTCATGACTTCTGGATCCTGCTGAATTTCCACCGACTTGTGTTCTTCACCAGTGGCCTCTGGTGGTAAAGGGTTTACCTTGTCAGTACCCACAGTGATGAATACAGTGTCCTGCAGCGGCTTTGTTGACTCTGGTTCCTGAGTGGGAGTCCCGGTCCCCGAACTGATGGCCACACCACCTTCTGATGGCCCCTGAGCAAAGCTTTCAATTTGCTCCAGGATCTGCAGAAGCAGAGCATCATCCTGATCCTTCATTTCTTCATCATGGCTGGTTTGGCCACCAGCGGGCGCTTCGGGCAGACCCTCAGGCTCAGCTGGGGCCTCTTGGAGAGTGCCACCTCCTGCCAGTTTCTTACTGTCTGAGGTTGTACGCTGGAGGTTATCTGTCTGTTGGCCATAGTTTCTGAACCTTGGCTCCTTGTCTATGTCATGGTGCTCTGAATCCACTGGCATTTCATCAGTTTTGTCACTGGAAGCTCCTCTACAACTTGGTGTTGGAGACCTCACCCCCTCTGTGCCCTGGCATGTATCACATGGCCCTTCAGAGTGGGGCTGCTCGGTGTCCATCACAACCATGGTCTTCTCCCAGGTATTCTGTGGTATTTCAGCTTCACAGGTGCTTGCGTGTGTAGTGAGGTCTTCCTGCTGTATCAGAGCCTTAGCAGCAAATCCTACAGAATCTAGAAGTGAATTCCCTGCCCCTTGGATTTTGTTGTCCATCACCTGAAGATCATGGGGCTCCTTGTCAAAGTACAGAAGCTCCCCAGGTTTCTCATGGTTCTCAACAGTGATGCTGCTTACATTGCAATCAAGGGTCGCAGCCAAGGAAGACACCCCAATATGATGCTGTGCCCCATTTTCTGATGGAGGAACCTGGAATGGCAGGCAGTGTGGCCCCTGGACCGAGTTCTCATTGCTGCATGGGACTCCAGTAGCCTCTTGGGCCTCATGAAGAGAAAGGTTTGGGTAAACTGTTTGAATTGAGGATTGGGAGCAGACAACATCCTCATACCTGGGGGGTTGCTCATGGTCTATGATGGAGCAGAGTGGGCTCTGCTGAAACCCATGGAGAGTACTGACCAGTCTGGACCAGTCACTGTGCTCCTGAGCTCCTGGGAGCTCATGCTCAAACCCAAAAGGCCACTTCTTCAAATGTCTAGAGAGCTGGTCCACCACTGTCCGGTAAATAATCTCATTCTCATGGTTCCCTCTGCCCTCAACAAGAGCCTTCCTCTTGATGCACTGCCTGATGATGTCAGTACACTTCTTGAGGTCATTGGAGCACTTGAGTAAGATGTTAAGGCAGGACCTGATGTCTTCCCCAGAGGTTCCGGCATCCACCTTAGTCAACTGCAGAATCTGGGCCATGAGGTTCTCCTCGATTGACATGTCTGGCAATGAGGTAATAGTGATGCTGCTGTGCTGCTCTGGGGAGGTGTTCTGAGGGATCTCTTTTTGCAGGCCCTCTGGGAGTGTCATGGGAAGATGGGTGAATGGTGGGAGGTTCTCATCATTCTCACAGAAACGCCTTCCTGTAAAGTCCACATCATTGTACCTCTGACCAAGAGGGTCCAGTCGGAGCTTCCTACCTGTCTGTAAGGGCATTTGATTGAAGGAGAACTCCTTGACCTTCCCACTAGCCAGATTTATGGCATCCCTTGTAATATCCTTGAGGCTGAAGGGAGTGTGAACAGATGACCCCCTCTTCAATCCAGGAACAGTACGTGGCAAGTTTCTGCGATTCTTTTCTCCATTCACAGGCCTTTGGTGGCGTAAGTTACTTCCAGCTGTTTTCAGTGTGGTGGCTTCTGACACAAATTCTTTAGAGCCAGTGAGTACAGGATCCACTGGCTCAAAACAGAGGCCCCGGTGGGCAGCCGTACATTCCAAGCCATGCATCAGGAGGCTACAGGGTCCTTCGCAGTAGTGCACAACCTGCGGGTGACGCTGGTCCACCAACACGCTATGGTAGTGGCTAACACTGCTGACCACGAGCCGGTATGTGGCCGCCATAGTGACTCAAAGATTTTCAGTATCACGCAAACAAAAAAAAAACAAGAAGCTAAATGACACTTAGCATTATCTCAATGATGATGGAGGGGACAGGAGCTTGACACAAGTGTTATGCTACAACTTAGTTAGCACTCCATGTAATGTTAGATGTCATGTTCTTTGCTGGGGTCTATCCACGGTGGCTGCATTCCTTCCTCTTCCATATCCGGAGACCTACATGCGTAACAGTGAACGTGGTCTGCAGTAGCCTCCTACATCCTTGCGTTCCTCCCTTCAAAGTAAGAGTCTGCTGTTAATGTGAAGCCACCTGTCAGGAAAGAAGGGAGAACTAAAATCAAGTGGCTGTTGAAAATTAAAAATAAGCATGGACCAGAGCCACTGCTGTCACAAGCAGAGATTTAACAGTTTGTCAACATTTCTACTGATCCAAGCTCATATATGTAATTGCAACGTCATGGGCTTTTCTGAAACCATATGGGTTTCTGCCACAATTTTTTATGGAAACTGATATTTTTTTCTACAGGACATTTTCACCACCATGCTAAAAGCCCATTTGGATGAAACCTATCAATAGTTAGAGCAATTTACTAGAGCCCAGGGTGCACTTGTGTATGGGACTGACTTGTCTTCTGAAAAATATGAAAGTGAGGGGTCCTCTGCCCCGACAGTCACTGACCTTGGGGTACAAGGAGATGGTCACAGGGTTGAGTGATAACTGTCAAGGAGTTGTGTCACAGCCTAGAATCGCAATCGGATCACATGACATGTCTTTACAATGATAGCAAACCCACAAGTTATGGAATAGCGAGGTTGAGAACGACCACCTCCTGATTCTAAAGACATCCCTGCCAGGCTTCCTACTCTCGGGAAGTCTCTCTGCATGGGAATCAGCTGGAGAAATGCGGACTGATGCCAGAAAGACTTCTGAGTATTCTCACTATCAGGTTTGAAAATGCAACGGCACAGTCTCCAAGGTCACAGCCATCCTGAGGTCGCTACCCAGTTTCTAAGCATGGATCGACAGGTCTTGGGGACATTGTTAGTTACAGCAAAGTGCTTGCCTAACACCTTCCCTCACAACATCACAAATTTATGTTGATACTGCTGTCAAAGACCCAACAGCAACATTCCAAGAGCCCCAGGCAACAGCAGTGCAGAGAGAATCCACTCTTTGAACATGCAGAAAGAGAAAGTGACCTCTGATTGGTCTGTGTGGTTTATTAGGCTCCCCGGTTAAGTTGGAAACATTGGTGCACAGGACAGCAGAAATGATCACTACTATATAGGATGAATTGGTTGCCATGGAAACAGAGCGAGGCTTGGATGGAGACAGGCAGCAGGTATGACTAGGAACAACAGACACTGAGACTGTCAGGGAGAGATTCAGGATGATATTTGTGAATAAAGGTTATTACTTTTAGCCATATTTATTTGTGCTCATAAAAAAATTGTGGGCAAGTCCCAGAAGGTGGAGTTTGCTACCTACTTTAATATTTTAGGCGTGGGTTGGAGCTGGAATCACATTGTGCAGAAAAGTGAGTCAGTGTGAAGGCCCCACAATGACAGACACACAGATATGTCTTTGTGTGTCTATCTGTCTGTATGTATGTCAGTATGTGTGCGTGTATGTGAGACTAGCACCCCCCCTTTTCACTAATATCACTAACAGATCATTGCTGCCGCCATCTTAACCCAGGATGTGTGTAATCATAATGTTGTCCATTTAACACTATTTTAAATTTAATCCCTATCCTATTATTTTCACATTCCTGAGCCCAGTTGTGTGATTAACAGTATGAAGCCTATGTTTATGCAAATCTTTTCCGATGTGCCATTTTTTCAAAAGCATTGACATGAAAGCATTACTTTCCCTGCTGACACAGAGACACACACAGACACACTGTGCACACTCACACCCATGTTCCTTTTTTCCAGAAGCAAAAACAAAAATAAAATAAAAGGATAAAAACTAAACTACTTCCTGGCTGTGAGGAGTGTTACGGCCTGGCTTTGAAGGGCATTACAGCCCAGTTTTAAAGAACATTACAGCCCAGCTGTTAGGAGCGTTACGGCCCGGCTTTGAGGAGCACTATGGCTTGGCTTTGAGGAGCACTATGGCTTGGCTTTGAGGAGCATTATGGCCCGGCTTTGAGGAGCACTATGACTTGGCTTTGAGGAGCACTACGGCTTGGCTTTGAGGAGCATTACGGCCCGGCTTTGAGGAGCATTACGGCCCGGGTTTGAGGAGCATTACTGCCCAGCTTTGAGGAGCACTACGGGCCAACTTTGAGGAGCGTTACGGCCCGGCTTTGAGGAGCGTTATGGCTTGGCTTTTAGGAGCGTTACGGTCCGGCTTTGAGGAGCGCTACGGGCCGGCTTTGAGGAGCGTTACGGCCCGGCTTTGAGGAGCGTTATGGCTTGGCTTTTAGGAGCGTTATGATCCAGCTTTGAGGAGTGTCACAGCCCCGCTTTGAGGAGCGTTACGGCCCGGCTTTGAGGAGCGTTATGGCTTGGCTTTGAGGAGCGTTATGGTCCAGCTTTGAGGAGTGTCACAGCCCCGCTTTGAGGAGCGTTACGGCCCGGCTTTGAGGAGCGTTAAGGCTTGGCTTTGAGGAGCGTTATGGTCCAGCTTTGAGGAGTGTCACAGCCCCGCTTTGAGGAGCGTTACAGCCCAGCTTTGAGTTGCACTATGGCTTGGCTTTGAGGAGCGTTATGGTCCAGCTTTGAGGAGTGTTACGGCCCGGCTTTGAGGAGCACTATGGCTTGGCTTTGAAGAGCGTTACGGTCCAGCTTTGAGGAGCACTATGGCTTGGCTTTGAGGAGCGTTATGGCCCGACTTTGAGGAGCATTACGGCCCGGCTTTGAGGACCGTTACGGCCCGGCTTTGAGGAGCACTATGGCTTGGCTTTGAGGAGCATTACGGCCCGGCTTTGAGGANGGAGCATTACGGCCCGGCTTTGAGGACCGTTACGGCCCGGCTTTGAGGAGCACTATGGCTTGGCTTTGAGGAGCATTACGGCCCGGCTTTGAGGAGCATTACGGCCCGGCTTTGAGGAGCGTTACGGCCCCGCTTTGAGGAGCGTTACGGCCCGGCTTTGAGGAGCGTTATGGCCCGGCTTTGAGGAGCGCTATGGCCCGGCTTTGAGGAGTGTTACAGCCCCGCTTTGAGGAGTGTTACAGCCCCGCTTTGAGGAGCGTTACAGCCCCGCTTTGAGGAGCATTACAGCCGACTTTGAGGAGCACTATGGCTTGGCTTTGAGGAGCGTTATGGCCCAGCTTTGAGGAGTGTTACAGCCCCGCTTTGAGGAGCGTTACGGCCCGGCTTTGAGGAGCGTTATGGCCCGGCTTTGAGGAGTGTTACAGCCCCGCTTTGAGGAGCGTTACGGCCCGAACTTGGGTAGCGTTTGAAGAACATTATGGCCGTCTTTGAGGAGCATTTTGGCCTGGCTTTCAGGAGCTCCCCAGCAAGAGAAGCTCATCTCTACCTCTTCTCACCTCTCTTCCCTGCCAGCATCCTCTCTAGATGGGGACTTCCTCGGCTACAAGTCTGGTACCACAGTGACTTCCCTGACGGCTGTATCGCAGAAACAGGAAGTGCATGTCACATGACGGCCTGCCATAGCCTCTTGCTGGGGGGCTGACAGAGGCTACACTGTATTCCCAAAGCAATGGGACTGATCCTGTTATTACTATCTGCAATCTCATTACACTCATCACGCGACTGTGATTATGATGAGACAGAGCACAGCACAATAAGCCTCAACAATAACCGGTAATTAAATCCACCCAGTAACACGATTCGCAGTGTTAAATCAACCACAGGGTGCCGCTGTGGCTTACTGCTGCCTCAGGCTGTGGGTACGAGTCCCCAGAGATTTTTACTGTAAACCAAATTATGCACATAGATCCCAGCTGCCAAACGATTATAAAAGTCTCCAGACAACTCAAGGAAAATAACGGATAAAGAACGAGCACAAAGAGGAAGAGGCAGAGGGAGACACAGAGGACAAGGAAGTTTTTGCTATTATATTTTTAATGAAATAAGAGCCATTGTGCTTGATAATGTTATCAACTACAGCATGAGCTATAAAGAAGCTGGGCAGCGGATGCAGCCGAATTACAGCTGTTACACTGTTGCTGGAATCATTAGGATGTTTAGACCTGAGAATGGGTAAGTCTTTACAGTATTAATGTATAGTGGCACAATAATTGGTATTTTCAGAGGTATGTCAGAGGAACTCAGTTTTGACAGATTTTTTTGGTAAAATTGATAGAAGATCATCCAATGGTGGAAGAAACTGTTCAGTGCAGAAGAAGAGAGAGAAATAGTCAACATGGCATTGGAAAATAATGCAATAAGACTACGGGAAATCCAAACTTGGGTCATAGAGGACAATGGCATCTTCAGTAACATTAGGGCTGATTCCATATCCACTATTGACCAGTTGTTAGAAAGGCAAAGGATGAGCATGAAGCAATTATATAAAGTTCCCTTTGAGAGGAACTCTGATTATGTGAAAGAAAGGCAATATCAATATGCTCATGTGAGTATATCTAAGTTTGCTTACAGTATTCATTGTTTTTCGGGTTAATATTTCCCTGACAAACATTGTATCCATTTAGAGTATACTTGAGCTTGATGCACTTGCTGAACTAAGTGATATACACTCACCTAAAGGATTATTAGGAACACCTGTTCAATTTCTCATTAATGCAATTATCTAATCAACCAATCACATGGCAGTTGCTTCAATGCATTTAAGGGTGTGGTCCTGGTCAAGACAATCTCCTGAACTCCAAACTGAATGTCAGAATGGGAAAGAAAGGTGATTTAAGCAATTTTGAGCGTGGCATGGTTGTTGGTGCCAGACGGGCCGGTCTGAGTATTTCACAATCTGCTCAGTTACTGGGATTTTCATGCACAACCACTTCTAGGGTTTACAAAGAATGGTGTGCAAAGGGAAAAACATCCAGTATACGGCAGTCCTGTGGGCGAAAATTCCTTGTTGATGCTAGAGGTCAGAGGAGAATGGGCCGACTGATTCAAGCTGATAGAAGAGCAACTTTGACTGAAATAACCACTCGTTACAACCGAGGTATGCAGCAAAGCATTTGTGAAGCCACAACATGCACAACCTTGAGGCGGATGGGCTACAACAGCAGAAGACCCCACCGGGTACCACTCATCTCCACTACAAATAGGAAAAAGAGACTACAATTTGCACAAGCTCACCAAAATTGGACAGTTGAAGACTGGAAAAATGTTGCCTGGTCTGATGAGTCTCGATTTCTGTTGAGACATTCAAA